GAAAACTGATTTAGCATGAAAATTGCCGTTTTTCTTTAATTTTTTTTTTTTTTTTTTAGTTATTTTCGATTATAAATATAAAAAAAAAACTGGAAATATTTAATTTTGACCCCTCTAGAGTCTAGAGTACAAACTAGATCCAACTCGCTATTAAAAACCAACCTGAAGGCTGAAAACCAACTTCTTATTGTCTTTGCAAATACACACAAACACAAAACACGGGTGTCACCGTTTTCCGCCAAAATCGACCTTTCCGTTTACCGCCAGTGTCATAATATATATTTCTTTTTTCCGTCACCGCAAATTTCAGTTTCTATATTTTGATAACTTCTAATTGTGAGAATTAAACTAATATTTCAGGATGTCGATTTCGTATTTTAACCCAATCATCTTCATAGATACCTTAAAATACAAGAAATTAGCTTATTGAATGTACCAATATAAAGATAAGTCATCTGAAATTGGTAAACATGGTTAAATAATATACTTGACTTATTATTTCTAAATCCGAGAGATGTAAATGATTGCTTCATCGACAACTTAATGAGCAAGTGTCGGATTAATGAGAGACTTTAAAAGTTTGCTGACTATTTTGTAGAAACATATCTTTCTGAAGATTGTATATATCCTTTAAAACTTTTGGCACTTTCATCTTCAAAACTTATGTGCACGACAAAAGCGCCTGAGAATCATTTCATGCACATTTCAAAAATAGTTTTATCAACAATCGCCATCTATTTTATAATGAAATAAATGACGTTGATTGCAAATTAAGAAACGTCAGCAAACAAAAAAGCATTACAAAACCAAATTTTAAAATGACATAAAAAACAAACCATTATTTAATTGACCAGTATAAAAGAAGAGAAATATGCCGATATATACCTATAAAATCAATAGCGTACCTACCTGCAGTAACTATAAGAAATAAGTAAAATAAATAAATGATTCCTTTATAGAAATATGTTATAAAGATATATAGATATCTGATTATTTTAAGCTATAGTTGATATTACATATTTTTGTTAAATATTCACCTAACTTAATCGTCAAAAAATTAAAAGAAGCCCTCGAGGAGGTCGGAATAAAAATAAAAAAAAAAGTTAAACAAGTACCTACTTAGTAAAAACCCAGATTTAAAGACACTGAAGCTATTTAAAATATTTACAACGGCAGCGATATGTAAACTTCTTTTGAATTTAATCTTACTGAATTAGGAACTTTAAATTTGCTCCTATAACTTCCATCGACGTGGAAAGGTCCTTTAGCCACTATAAAAACATATTGCGTCCTAATCGACGTCGATTTACTTTTGACAACCTTACTCAATTGAATAAGTAGGTACCTACTTAATTTAAATGTATTCCTAAATATAATTTTAATAAAATAATAATGTAATGTAGTAGTGTTGTATAATTTATATTTTTATACCTATATACTTATTTTATAATTTTTTATAAGAATAAAAACATTTTTTTTTACATATCTTGTATTTTTAATCGCACGTTTGGATAAAAATAAATACATATATATGTAAATATTTTTGAATTTTTAATACATATAAATCCGCATATTAGTAATTACATTATAAAATATCTTATATAATATTGTAATAATTTTAATTTTAAGTATCACTTGAATATGTTTTTGTAAAAACATATATTTAATTAATAATTATAAATGAGTCATCATATTTTCATAGTATCTAAGAGGTTACCAAAATATAGAAACTAAAATTTGTGGTGGCGAAAAAAGAAAATATAATGTTACCTATTGTACTGGCGGTAAATGGAAAGGTTGATTTTGGCGGAAAAGTTGATCACCTGCTAAACGTCTATCATTACAATTTGATACATTCATCTTTCTGTTCAAAACATAAAACATATTACTTTTGTTTGAACTTTGATCTTCCAATGTAACTCATGGATATCAGTATATTATTATTTATTATGTTTATAAATTATCTAAAACATTTTATATTAAATTTAGAGATTAAGTATTACATACAAGAAAAATAAAATTATAGCTTGATAAACGTAACATTGGTTTTTTTTTTTTTTTAATTGTATTGCCTTATTTTAAATTCATTTTTTTTAAATTTTAAATCCTTTTTCTAGTTTTTTAGTACTTTAAAATCTGTACTCTAATGATGAAAAAACAGCCAACAATAAAATTAAATTGGGACACTTAAATTTTGGGACCTCAATTATATAACTCAAATTATGCCATTGATTTAACTAGTACCTACTATAAACAACATAGAACATATTTTGTTGTAAGTAAATTTTAATGGTTGTGGTATGTCATTACCAAATCTAGTAAAATATCAAGCTTACATTTTAAAACACTTTCTAATGTATTAGAATATTCTAAAAAATTGTGTTAACTATTATTAATATAGATTATTGAAAATTAACAACTAAATGGAAATTTTTGGTTTTCAATGTTTAAATAATACTCTTGTTATATATATATTTGAATCATAAGATTATATATAATAAGTAACAGCATAATTCAGAAAACACATTATAAGACTACACTTGTTACGTAAATTATAAATTAAATTTGTTATTTAAACTCAACACAGACATATATTAGACATATATTTTTTTACAAATATAATTTAATGGACAGCACATGTGAAAATAAAAACACATACATTGCAAGTATTGAGCACCTGATGTTTTAATACAATATAAGTTATTGTAATATGTATATAATATAATGTCTAGGTTATACAAGTAATAATAAATTATAATATACATTAATAATATTCATAAATATGTTTTATTTATATTTAACAACAGTGCAGCCTAAAAAATTAATCATCATATTACGTTGAATATAATTTAAAATAACAATTGTTTACAGGTAACTTGAATGATGTAAACATTATTATTTTTTACAATTAAAACAGCACGAGTTCAATACAATATTATGAAATAAATATAATTCTGAGAAGTATATTTTAACAAATATATATCTTATATACACAGTTGTCATGGAGTTTTAAATAATTTTAAAGGTCGTTCAGTTTGCATTCATTCTTATACCATCCACCTTTATTGTTATTAAATTACCTAAAATATTCGCACACTGGAGAGTACTGTTTATTATTTTATTAAAACAATCAAATGATGTACAAAGTTCACAAAAATTTTTTTGGTATAAGACTAAAATTATTATATTAATAATTACATAGGTCATTATGTTTAAGTAGACAGCGCACTGGAAGACTAAAATAATAAGTGTAAATATTTTATGTTATTACTAAAACAAGGGCTATGAGAAGTAAACAGCGACCAACTTGGTCCTAGTTTACACTAAGTCCGATTTTAAATTTTAACAATGGGTACTAAAAATGTAGTTATTTTTAAAGGCATATGCATTAACACTACAGCAAGCATTACATGAACACAATGAGAATCCATAGCTACTACAGACAGTACAAGAGTCGTGGTAAAACTTGGTTATCACTTACTTTTTGTGCCACTAAAAAACTACTAACCATTAAAATTGAAGTGATTGTTATTTTTTTGGTGTATTACATATTTTTCAAAATTATTAATTCAATATTATTAGGTAATTACTAATTATACACTTGCATAATGATGGTAAAATATTGTTTTCTATTATTCTTTTTTTAAAACCATTAATAAAAAAAACAAAAGAATGTTACCCATATCCTAACCCTCACAATATAATAAACTTAATAGATTTTTAAAAGCAACAATTTTAATACTTAACAAACTATATCATATTGTAGGGTTCTTACAATTTTACTAATATAAAAAAAAAAAAAAAAAAATGAAATATTTAACATAAAGTGAAAACAATATATTATAAATTATAATAAACATAATAATTAATATAAATAAGTTTAGATGAAGTTAATGTACATAATTATTGATGGTATAGTAATAATTTTGCCATTATAGTTGTATGGCGTATAAAATGTTAAAATTGTATTTTTATATTTTAATCAAATTTGTTTAATTAATTATATACAATGTTTTACAAACTAAATTAAACAAATTATACGAAAATCCATCACAGCCAAATAAAGCAATTTTCATACAACCATTGTTTACACATATTATACTCAGTACCCATACTGAAATTATATTAGATATTATTTATTTAATTTATAAAATAATGTAAGATGATAGCAAACTATGATAATAGCATAACAAAATAAAAAATTTAATTAGATACACTTAGATGATAAAACAAAAAAGGTATATTAGATGTAAATAGCCAAAGCTAATTGATCAATGAAAAAATGTTAGAAATGACTTTAACCAAAATTAATTAACAAATGTTTGATATTGTAGAATTTTTAACTTCAAATTTAAAACATTGTCAATGGAATGAAATGTATTATATAAAAATGCTTTTATCAAAGCTTAGAAAATGATCGCAAATATTTAAAACTTTATTTTTGTGATATTTTTACAACTAAAATTAAATCCAAAGCTCTTGGAATATAAATATTTTAATAAATATCATAAATTAATATTAAATAATGAAAAAAATTATACAAATTGGTAGTTTTAATAAAGGAATAATATATTTCATACTCATATATATATATAAAAAAAAAATTTTAAATTTCAATATAAAAATGTATATAGAAATACATCTTTAATAACAATAGCGGATTTAAGAATAAAATGGCACTAAAATTGTAGCTATGTGATCAGTATTATTACTGAACTATAAGATGCAAATATATCTTTATATAAGTGTATCATATAAATTAACTAATTGAAATTTTAGTTTAACTCATAATGATCAAAAGTAATATTAGGTATTATAAAATAATTAATACATGTATGTTACAAGGCATTCACATTTGATATCTAACCATTATTTTTTTTACAACAGTCTGTTGACTTTCTTGTTATTTACATTTTTGAAAATACATTAGGTTTACCTAGTCAATGTATTTTTAAATAAAAAATATAATATCATTACGAAAATCTATAAATCATAAAATGGCAAAGGATTATACAACATTATTATTTATTACATATATATATATTCTCCCCCCAGAAATGTATTAAAAATGTTGGTTAACTATTTGGTCTCAAATGAACTTATTTATTGAAATTGGCAAATACAGCCCAAATTACGTCATTAGTAGAACCTTTCATTGATTCAACTTCTAAGTCCATATCTGATAATTCTCTTAATCTTCTAGTGGCTAATTCATAATCTTCATCATTTAACGGAGAAAATGCACTTTCTAATACATCTGATGCTTGAGCCAACAATAATAAAGCCAATAGTCGTTTATCCATTCTATGCGGATCATTAATCCATCGAGACAAAACAGCATCTTGTACCTAATATTTTACATCAAAAAATCATACAAAAATAACTAATATTCATAAATTTGTCATGTAAACTACAAAATAAGTAGATAAAAATAACTTAATACTGAGTTAATTACCTTTTTAACTAGTCTCACTTTAGCTTCATTATCTGTTAATGGATGGGTAGTCATATCAAATAAAAGGAAATTTTGTTTTTCAGTGGTAAGAACACCTTTCTCTACTAAATTTTTTGCTAATCGTTCTCTAACATTTTTCAATTGATATTTAATTTTCAAAGGATTCCACGTTTCACCTATAAATTAGAATCAAGTTAATGATGCTCTTATAATAATAATAAATTGTTGAATTATCTATAAGAATTTATATAATATAACATACCACTCAAATATTCAATCCAACTTTGTATTGTTTCAGGAGGATTAGTCTCTTTGATATGTTTGAGAGCTTCGTCTAACAAAACATCACCTGTAGGTGTCTCATTTTTTATAATTACTTTTCTCATTTGTAAGCTTTTTCTTCGCATCCCTGCCTTTTCTAGTTCAATTCTTTGACGAAGTGCAAGTTCAACAAGTATACATCCACGTAAGCCAGATGAAATTGAATCATTCCAAAATGATGTATATCCCTGTAAAATAATTATAAAAATGAACCTTTTATAAATATTTAATAGTATGTTAAATACCTTAACGAATTCAACAAAAGTGTGACTGGCATAGTTATACTAATATTAATAACGAGCTTATGTTTTGAATTCATAAATATAATAGATTAAAAATGTTACTTAGAAATAGGGATTGATCGAGCCTAAGTTTTTACTAATTAAAACATGAATATTAATTAAAATTTAAAAACATGTTAGTTGTAAAATACTGACTGATTTTAATAAAAAAATAGTACTATCAAGTACTATTCTAACTATTTGAGAATTCAAATTCGAACTTTAATTTTTTAAAGAGATTTATTATAAGTACATATTTATATTAATTTTGAATCATTTATTTAAAAAATTACTTATCATTTAAAGAATAGTTAGTGATGGATTTATAATTCTTGTGATACTTGAGTACTTAACAATCTTAAATTAAAAATGCTAGGCTATATATCTATCTATATTTAAAAATATATAAAAATTATGATTTTTAATTATCTATATAATTATTGTGTTTTAGATTCATAGTAAATATTACAGAAATATGAAACATTTTTTCAATAAATAAAATAATAATTTTTTTTTTATTAGTTTATTTAGCAATTAGTGATACTTGCATTAAAGGTTTATTGGAGTTCTTAAAATTAAAACAATCATGAGGTTACATAATTATTTTTTAAACATTTAACAGTTACATTTACTACTGTCAATAATACTTTAAAGCAAATAAAAATATTATCTTCATAAGGTATATCATGATAATATTTTACATTTATTAGTAGATACTTTATAACAAGCATAATTTAATTTAATATGATATGAATATAAAATAAACTATATTGAATTATTATGAATTACTTAAATATTTATACACAAATACATCAATTAGCATTGAATATGGGGCTCAAATAAACTATACAGATTACCATGTTTGTACAAGTGTATGTAACTGGTCATTAGTAACAAATATATGTTGTTAAGTAGATATGACAGTAGAACATATAAAAAAAAAAATCATTTTCACTATTTTTTATAATATTAAAAATTATTTAAGTAAATCCTTTTATTTACCTATTAAATTACTGCCTACTTACTTTGATTTTTAATTTAAAATGTTTTAATCTACAAACAAATTTTAGTAGTATATATTAATACTTAGTAGCATAAATTCGTTCTTATTAAGAATATTTATATTTTGTTCTTTGAATATATATAAAAAAAATATTAGCATATCATGTAATATTACTATCAAGTAGGTACAATACTTTTAAATAAGAAAAAATAATTATTATCTGTAGTTATATATTAATTAATAATTATTAAATAAAAATATACATTTTTTTTCTGAAAATAGTAGGCGTCATTCAAATATAAATAAAAATAATATACTCAGAATTTATATTTTTAAAGTATCAACAATTGTATTCAAATTGAGATTCAAAAACAAAACAATATTTATCTACTTAATACCTTCAATCAAACACTGTATAGATTAATTAAAATAAAATAATTACAAGGAAAAATAACCAAAAAGTTCTAATGAATGTTAATATTAAATATAAGCATTTTGCCAAATCAGAGTGGTTAAATTTTACTTAACATATTTTTATTTTTCATATATAAATATAAATCCACGATAAAAACCAGTTTTGTAAATAATAAATAATCTGTAAAAAATATCAAGGATTTAGGACATAAAGAAGTCTATACCTTAATTTTCTATAAATATTTACATGGTAGGTACACAATTAATGTTATACTACTTATCAAATACCAAGAAACAATAGGTACTTATCTAAATTAATTAATTTTTTTATGTTTATGGTGTTGTAAAGGTATCCATTAAAAAATACTAAAAATTATATAGGCACATGAAAATATGAGAAAATAATCATTAATATGTACATAAAATAAATATTAGGCATATGCTTACTCTTATACAAGTAGGTATAGACATATTTTTGTTAAATTGTAATTGCAATTAAACTAAAAAATTGAAGTCTACAAGCTTTTAAATAAATTAGAATGTACCTGTCTATCAAAATCAACTGCTATATCCATAATATTGTACAACATTTCTATACAAGGTACTTTCATTGATATGGCACAACATGTAAAATATTTTATATAATTGTTTAAAAGACACCATATATCTAATTAAATTAATTTAGCTTGAATAATAGAATTTTAATGTTTAGACACTGATCAACTAGCTGAATGGTAGGTAATTGTACATAGGGCATGTAGAACTATGTTTAAAAAACTTATCAATAAACTATCATGAAAAATATGTTGGGTTCAACACTGTAGCAAAATTATACATTGCATAGCTTAAAAAAACATTTATCAGATTAGACTAATGAAATGGGATCTAAAAGAGCTGAAGGTCTTAAAAATCAGACAAAGCGTCAAAAAAAAAAAATAAATAAAAATATGGATAAAAAAAGATAATTGATTATTAAGAAATGGGTATTTTTAAAAAATCAAATAAAACAGATTTAATTATTTTTATAAATGCCTACTATTAGGGCTTACATCCTAATCATTTGTAAAAAATAGGAATATCATCTTAAATATTGATTAGAAAGTGTAAAAGTAGTCAATTTGAATTACTGAATAGATATTTAATCTATAACCTATATGCTTAAAATAATATTATGACTAGTACGCTTGACTGGGTATTTATATAACAAATATTTTAGATGTGTAAGTAAAGGCAATCGCGAATCTTAATAGAAGTGAACGTACACCTATAGTATACCTCTTTGTCTTTGAGACCTAGCAGCAGCACTTCTTCCATTAACGTGAGCCGTGTTTCTTTCGAGTCACCATCGTCGATGTCCTCTTCGTAGTCAAGTTTGTCTGCCGTCGATTGGCCGTTTTCCTTGGACACGCCGTCCGCGTTGTCTCTGTTGACGTTGCGCCTCTGCACCAGACCATCGGCGCGGCTCATCATCATCTCGGCGAACCGTATGTGAGTTCTCGCGTGTAGTCACCAGTGTATTACGTGAGAAACTAAATTTCCACAAAAAAAAAAAAAACCAAACCCAGTGGATCAAAATAACGTACGTTGTCGTTCGAGGGTTACGCACTTGGCGTTTTTGATGCGAATGCGAATTCCGAGAGGGCGAAAGCGCACAATTATTGATAAGGATTTTTTTGTTGACGTCTACACAATAATACAGTAATGGTAATAATGGTATTATAAATATAATAGTAATAATAATATCGTATAGTAGTATCACAATTCACGATAATGTAATATGTTTTCACCGCCCCTTCCACGCGCACAATTACCAAAACCACGGCTCAAGATTAAAAACAGTCGTCGACTGGACGATTAGATCGTTATGTGGTCACGAATGGCCCAAACGAGATGATAACACATTAACACGGCGTGGAATATGTGTTATCTTAATGAATAATAACGCTTTGCGTCGACGACTATTCCTTCGAAAGTTATCATTGTTATTAGTTAAATCAGTTATAATATATTAATATGATCATTGATCATTATTGAAGCATTTCGGTAAACTGTATTCCGCTGTAAAGCATTGGTCACGAACGTTTTATGGAAATTAAATTAATGAATGTAATCTCACGCTCGATTATGATTAAAAGAAATATTGATATAGATATAGTCGTTGATTAAATATAATACATTTAATTGATGGTTCAATATTAAATTCATGTCCTATTTTATGTTCAGCTTCCGCTTGGATTACTGACTGAGAAATGAGAAACTGAGAAGCACCGTCACGATTTAAGATAAACAGGCACATACTACATCGTGAATCGTGAGTAACTGAGTGGTGACTGGTGAGTATTGACTAGTATTGAGTAAGGCTTTAGAAAGTCTAGAACATAGTCAATATATATATAATATATAAATAATATAATATCAAATATGGTTGCAAGCTTGCGTGACGGCACATAATTGGCCAGCTGATGCCGTCAGCAGGGAACGTGTTGTGAAAAGGGTAGGGTACAGTTGTCCGAAAAATGATAAGGATAATATGATAAGCACAAAATGTATTGCCAACATACAATTTTCAAAGGTAACTAGGGGTCATTTTTGCTTCTCGCTCACTCAAACTTTCAAAACGAAAATATCCTTCGATTTGCTATGAAACTCCATCTAAATAAGGTAGGTCATATGGTTCAAAAAAAATTCCCATAATTTTGTCAACAACGGTTGATAATAGTTTTCGATTATCATATCTTGGGTCCTTATCATTTTTTGGCAAATGCTTATCACTTGGAAACAACAATATAAAATACGCTGGTACTTATCGAATTCGATAAAAACCCGCTCAATGCTAGCGCTATCAACGGAAGATGTAGTGTACTATAGTTGTAATCATGTCACACACATCGTCATTGATTATACATTTATAAAAACTTGAAAAACTGGAATTTTTCAAAAATAAGCGAACAGAAGGCTAGTATTTAGTAATCCGTACAGTAAATTTAACAAATAAAACTACAGAAAGTAAAATTATAAAAACAAAATAACTTAAAATTAACATTTTAGAATTGTTTTCATATCGAACATAAAATTACATAATGAATTTATATATAAGCAGAATTTAAATATCAATGAGTTGAAATATTGAAATAAATAAACAAAATTAATGATATTTAACCAAGCGTGGTAAAAACAATTATTATTATTTGACTTTTTTGTAGTTTTGAACTTTCCGCCATATAATTATTAAGGGCTATTTAGAGCAATTTTATTCGCAACTCACTTTTATAATTTTTGAAATTATCAATGGGAGTTATGCAATGAGAATCGTCGCACATAGATGGCACTTGAGGTTAAATCAGTGTGACCATATACACCGTCAACTGCCTTTTTGTTTCCTCCTCTAATACAGGCGCAGTAAGGCAGTATTATAGTAGTTTTTTTCGAAATTATGGGTAAGAAAAAAAACCAGAATGAACAATAAATAATAATCAAATAGCCAAAATATTTTAATACAATAATGCAGTGATAAATGATAATTCCGCGATGATAATAATGATACCTTTATTTTATTTTTAATGTTTTTGTAATTCAGAATTCTATTTAATAGTTATTATTTATTACTTAGTATTCACTATTCAGCACTTTGTGCTCCTCTGGCGATTCGAAAGAAATAGCCTGCCTATATTTAATCGCGTTGATTGACACCCTTTGAATTTGAATTCCTATCATATTAAGGAATAATAATGGACTAATTCATGCAAAAATGAATTATTATTTTAGTAACTAAGGTGAGTTACATACATCTCATACTGGTTAGTTATTGATTGTCAGCTATAATAAAAAATTATTATTGTTTGTTTTGTTTCTAATTTTATTTCATTACTTTATAAAGTCTTTTAGACTCATATTGAGAAGTATGGGATATTTAATAATTAGCATTATGGTGTGAACTGTCTTTACATAACGATTCATGATGGTGTGTGAAAATCCAGCTTTCCATTTTGATTTTTGGAACGACATCAACCATGATTCTGTCGTGGAAGTCACTTGTTTAATGCCCAATAGTATTTCAATACCCTTAACAGTTTCTACAAGCACATCATTGCACGAATTAAAAGAGGTGTGTAACTGTGTATACTTTGAAGTAATTTTGGTGTCACAATATACAATATAATGTTATTTAATAGGAATTATGGGAGGAGGCAGTCAAATATCCCTTGCATGGTATGTTGCACGACTCAAGCAGTTACAGCATATCTTATGTCAATGCAATGGCCCAACGTGAAATGCTTGTAGACGAGAATAAGAGATTATGTGATGTACGCCCATTTTTAGCAGTCCTGAATATTGTTGAACGTCAAGAAGATAAAGCAGATAATGTACTTAATGCCCAAATAAGTAATCTCATTGGTAAAGGTATGTATAACTATTATTGTATCATGATATAAAAAAATGTATTATATTGTATTATTTATTTAGGTTTAATGGAATTTGATTCATTGAAAAGTTCAGAAGTTAATCAGTTTCGTGGTAAAATGAAAGCATTAGCTGATCAAATGCAAGCTAATCGAAGACGACAAAGTTGGTTAGAACGACTTTTGTATCAATTTGCACCACGCTTAGCTGCATCTACTTTGTCATCAAATGTCTTGCCTACTACAGTAACCAGGAGGCTAAGAGATGATAATTTTTCAGTTGTAATAAAATTTGATAACACAGAGGTATATTTTAAAATTAAATGTGTTTTAATATCACATAAATCAAAATATTTATGTAATTTTTTAGACTACGTTTACATTTAATGTGGGTCTTACAACAACGCCTGATCAATTGATGTTACAAATACTAAATAAACGTGCAATGACATTAAAAACTAGAAATGAAAAGTGTTCAGATTTTACTCTAAAGGTTTGTGGCCGAGAAGAATTCATTGTTGGTCAACATCCATTAATAGATTTTGCATATATACAAGATAGTTTGTCTCAAGATCTCAACCCCATTTTGATTGCTGTTTCCAAGTTTAATGTTCCAGGTAATTTATTATTATTGTTGTTGCTTTTATTATTAATCAAAAATTCATAACAAATAAATGTTTTAGTTCCGGAAGAATTAAATAAAGATCAGATTGATTACATTGAGCAAAATAAAACTCGTACTACATTGACATTACGTAAAAAAACTAAACACAAATTGTCATTTGATATTGATGAACAATTTAAATTTAAAGTGAATTATATTAGTAAATTAAACTGTGATGAAACTAGAACTGTTGAAGTTGGAATTGAAGCGGCTTTGTTCCATGGGGGTAAAGCATTGTGTGAGTGTGTTAGGACATCTGAAAAAATAGTTAACAACGGTGACTGTACCTGGGATGAAGAACTAGCATTTGACATGAGTATAGCTGACATACCACGGATGGCTCGTTTATGTTTAGTTGTGTATGAAGTCTCCAAAACATCAAAAGGACTAAGAACTAGGCGTATAAAAGAATCTAAACAAGTATATTTAAATCATAATAAATACATTGTCTCCTAGAAATTTTAATTATAATTGTAATTTGTAGGAGATGTTTGTTACACCTATGGACTGGGTTAACACAACTGTGTATGACTTTAAAAATCAGTTGAAAAGTGGATCAATTACGCTTTATATGTGGACATATGCTGATGATTTGCAAAATGAAGATTTGTTACATCCACTTGGTACTGTTGTATCTAATCCAAATGTTGAACAAACAACAGCTTTAACTATAACATTTCATAGGTTTAAAATTTTATTTTATTTTTACTATTTCAAGAACTAATATAGGTTTAATTACTTATAGTTACCAACCAGCTGAGCACGTAATTGTATATCCAAGTTTGGATAAATTGCGAGAGTATGCTGATAAAAAAGGGAAAGAAGACTTAAAAGATCAAGCAGTTGGAGATTCACAATCATTAAAAACTTACTTAGATCAAATAAAGTATGATAGAACTTATAAATTTTATTAAAATAATAATTTTCATTATGGCGTTGGTAATTTATAGGACAATGGCTGAGCGCGGAGAACCTTTAGACGAAATGCATGAACAAGATCGAAAGAAATTGTGGCGTCATAGATATCATATACTGCAATCAGTACCTGGACTTTTAGCTAAGCTTTTAGACTGTGTGGAATGGGGTATACGGTGGGAAGTCGCAGAAGCCACCTCATTGGTCTCTAGATGGCCTCTATTAGGACCACAGCAAGCTTTGGAATTGTTAGACTATGCTTATGCTGATCAAGTAGTTCGAAGTTTTGCTGTTAAATGCTTACAAAAACTAAGGTAAGTAGATGTTCTCTAAACATTATTAGTTAATCAATAATAACTAAAACTGTGTTGTTTTAGTGATGAAGATCTTTCATTATTTCTCTTACAACTAGTCCAAGCTTTGAAACATGAATCTTATTTATGTTGTGACCTTGTTGAATTTTTACTTACAAGAGCATTACAAAATCAAAAAATTGGTCATTATTTATTTTGGCATCTCAGGTATTTTAAAATTGTGTTTATTTTTGTTGATAGTTTATCATCAGCATTATTGTCATGTTTATTAGATCAGAAATGCAAGTTGCGTCTGTATCTGTACGCTTTGGTTTGATGTTGGAAGCATATTGTCGAGGGTCTATTGAACACATGAAAACATTAATAAAACAAATGGATTTTTTGGAAAAACTGAAAAAGACCACTGATTTAGTTAGACAGCGTCGTGACAAAGAAAAAGCACGGTCTTTTTTACAAGAATATTTTCAAGAAGGACATTGCATTGAAGCTATGTCATCTGTGCATAGTCCTTTAGATCCAAGTTATAAGTGCAAAAGAATTAGGTATGTTGAATTTCTTCAGCCAATAGTTATAATATTATAGTATAAAATAATGTCCTTATCAAAATATATATTACAGGACTGAAAAATGTCGCGTGATGGATAGCAAAATGAAACCTTTATGGATAGTTTTTGAAAATGTTGATTCACATGGCGATGACATTTACGTTATATTTAAAAATGGTGATGATTTGAGGCAGGATATGCTTGCTTTACAGATGATACGTATTATGGACAAATTATGGAAAAATGAAGGTTTGGATTTGAGGTAAGTTCTAAGCCATTTAAATATTATTATAGGTTAAAATATTTAAAAAAGTTTTATGAAAGTTGAAAATAACTCTAATACCATTATTGTACTCTTTAGACAGATGTTTATTAATTTTGATTTGTCTATTTCATAAATATATATATGTTACGGTGAAAGACAAAAATTGGTGAATGATGACATTTACCTAAATGATTCGATTATGTAAGTAAATAATGTAAAAACTAAATTTTTAATTCAAATGTACATCTTTTATCAGCCATTGACGTAATTTACGATAGATGATGATAAAGCTCAAATAATTCACTAATTGTTTTATTTTAAGTTTTGGTACTATTTATAATAATGATTGTTTGCTGTTAAATGATTCATTATTTATTGTAGGTACACCTTAATTTATTTCAGGTAAACCTATATTTAACTTAAAATATATTGTCACCTCTCTTTTTATTGTTTATAATTTCATTGATTATTGTTTTAAATTTATTCTGGTTTTCCATACCTAATTAAATAAAACTATAATGCTATAATTTAGTTTAACTTTTATTATATTTAGTTTACAAGTAACACAAATCATTACAAATAATTATAAAACACACGCTCGTTGCATATACAACTTGCTAGAATATGCACATAGACTAAAAAACTAATAGACCATCTCATTATTATTTGGGTTATTGATGTTATTGCTAGTCGGAGTTTTTGTTAATATAATATCTACTTCTGACATGATATTTTTAACTAATGAAAATTATTTGCATACCTTCAAACTTATCACTGATCATTCACACAGACATAAATGTATTTATCATCATTCTCCAACTAAACTGGAGATTGACAGAAATAATTGGGGAATGTCTAAATTTACAAAATTTACCAATTTTTAGTTAAATTATGTCATTTACTGCAAAATGACGTAATTTACCATATTTACATCATTCACCGTAACATTTATAAATACTGCCAGTTATATTACAGCAATAAATTAATATGAAAAATGTGATTTTTCCATTTTATTTGTTATTTATATAAAAATAAAAAACTACAAATAATTATTAAATATATTTGTAAAACTAGTTTTAAATTTTAAATATACTTATTTCTTATAAATATTAGTCACATAGTTTCTAGTTTATATTGTATTACATAACAGTACACTTTTATTTAATACTTTGTGAACTTGATGAACTTAATTATATTAATAATTTACAACTTTAATATAATATTATGTAATATTATTATTTATTGTTATTAACTTATAAATTAATACCGATCTAAAAATTGTTAAAGGAAAAACATTTATATTAGTGTAGGTAATATTTATTCATAAATTTTTTGATCAATTCCAGACATTAATTTAGTTATTTACTTGTAATTTAATTGTATTCTAGGATGAATCCATACCAATGTATATCGACAGATAACCGTGTGGGTATGATTGAAGTAGTGTTAAATGCAGAAACCATAGCTAATATTCAAAAAGAAAAAGGAATGTTTTCAGCAACATCTGCTTTTAAAAAGGGATCATTATTAGGTAAGATTATATTGCAAAATGTAAATACTAAAAATATAAATAATTTTTTCAATGATAAAATTATTAGCATGGTTGAAAGACTACAATCAAACAGAACAGTCATTGCAAAAGGCAATCGAAGAATTTACTTTTTCATGTGCTGGCTATTGTGTGGCAACTTATGTACTGGGTGTTGCTGATCGCCATTCCGATAATATAATGGTCAAAAAAACAGGACAAGTGTGTATATTTAAATATCATAATTTAACAGTTATTTTTATTTTATTTTTTTTTTTAATTTTGTTTATTTCCAGCTGTTTCATATTGATTTTGGTCATATTCTTGGTCATTTTAAAGAGAAATTTGGTTTCCGCCGTGAACGTGTACCATTTGTTTTGACTCATGACTTTGTGCATGTTATTAATAAAGGTCAGACTAGAAAAGAGGCCCTCGAATTCCAAATGTTCCAGAATTACTGTGAAAAGGTATTTAAGTAGTTACTATTTTTCAAACAATATGAGTATTAAATAATGTTTTATTTGTTAAAAATTGTTATATAACTGTTTTTATTTCAGGCCTTTTTAATATTAAGGCGGCATGGCTCATTAATACTTTCTCTTTTTGCAATGATGATTTCAACTGGACTGCCTGAATTGGGTTCCGAAAAAGATCTTAACTATTTACGTGAGACACTTGTTATGGACCTATCAGAAAATGATGCTAAACTACATTTTAGATCCAAGTTTGAAGAAGCATTAGGCAATTCATGGAAGACTTCACTTAATTGGGCATCTCATAATTTAGCAAAAAATAACAAGCAATGACAAAAGTTTCTAATTGGCTTGGAGCTGGCCATACTGTCGTGATTTCAGTTTGAGCTTATTAATACTGTGTTTTCCTATATAATAGTAGACAAATTGTATTGAAATTTTTTAACAAATGTTTAATTTGTAAATGGGAGAGAAAGACGTAATTCATATTATTATGGTTACCTCGGTATGATTTTTTTTTCTAAGTATATAAGTGTATAAATTATTTTTAATACATTTAAAAACATGCAATATTAATATATTATATAAATTAATAATTTATATTTATTATTATCGACTATTATAGTAGAACTATACCAATAAAGTTAAACATGATTTATTTTATTTGTGTAAAATATTCAAGATTATGTAGGATATTTATGATGGAGTTGGAATAGTTTATTAAAATTAAATATAACTGCTATGATTGTTCATTGAACTGTTTTTCATAATAATATTACATATATGACCATTAGTTACAGGTTAGATAGATCTGTTAGTTTTCATGCATAATGCAACACAGATTTTCCTAACATAATTAAATAATACTATAAATGATAAATCTAAATATTTTAGTTGTTAAATAAAACTTTTATTTTCTATTTATATTTAACCTCTATGGAAGTTTAATTTTGTTTTTAGAGTGTAGGTTGAATTTTATCAGAATTTTAATTTTTTTTTTAAAACATTTTATTTTAATTGTATCAATAGATAGATAACTCCATCATATTTCCCTACTGATACAATAACCAGACCATTAGAATATTTCCTATTATCCTTTTCATTTATAACATAAACAGTTTTATTTTTAGGCTTATTTAAAATAAAGTTGTCAAATAAATGTCTTGATTTTTAATTTTATTTTTTAGAATATGGTTGTAGAACTAATATTCAGGAATTAGGAATAGTAAAAATGATAAGGTAGTAAAAAGCGTCTGACATTATTCTGTAAATGGGTAGCTAGTGAATGGAATAAATTATCAAGTGAAATTTGTTATGACAACCGATAACATACTATTTGAAAATCAAAAATCAAAATACACATTTTCGTTTGCATATCTGTAAAATTGTATAGGTACTTTATTGGAGTTATATTGTTTATTTCCTTTATAATAAAAAAATATTTTTTTTTTTTACTTAAAACTGTAAACTGTAAATATGCATAAATTAACAAAATAATATTTCTTATATCTATACGACATCATTATTTGTATCTTACTTTATTCTTACTTTCTGTATTTGCTAGAACTTCCAAGCCCTGTTCATAATATATGAGTCAAGAACTATAATATAACTATATCTATAACTATAATATATAAATACCGTATATGGCATTTAAATCATAGAATGTTCTATGGTTGCACTGTATTCTTATCAGAGTGATTTGTACTTACTTTGTTTGATAACGATAACAAATACAACGATATAGAAAATTTGAATTTTTATTATTTTGAATTTTGCAAATAAAAATCTAATTCTTAAAATTTTTCGTTTTTTGGCTTACTAATTTTTTTTTTCGTTTATAATTTAAAATTTCCAAATAACGAGAATTGCCTTTATGTTTATGTAACACCGACATGGGTGACATCCAGTGGCCGTGGCAATACAGTTTTCCACCGTTTTTTACGTAAGTTTGGAAGGTGTCTGAAATCGACGTTTTTAACATTATTATAACGTTGAGATGTATTTGTAATTACTATTACTATCGATTGATTACGATTAACAGGATACAGCCAAACGCGGAGACAAGACAGAAGCAATTAGACGCTTGGAGAACATTGGTGTTGGATTACTGTCGCACCCAGAAAGTGTCTGTTATCGATGTCCGCGAAGGAGACTTATTGCCGGTTTTCAACAATACTGCCATATCCAGTAAGTGTATAAGTTAATTCTATAGAATCTCATAAACAGAGTGGATAGGCTTTAATCACTATAGTATTTTCAAATACAGGCTCATAGGTACTAGAATTGATATCATCTTTTTTTTTTTTTACAGTTAGTATTTATTGTTATATTAATATACGGTTATAAATTTGTGTTTCATACTTTTAAAAAACTGATAAAAAAAAAAATTGAAAAATAAGTAATTTAAATGGTTTTTATTACCACAATTTTAAAGTTGTCTGATAAAATAATAGCAAATTATGTAAATTTTTAACCTTCTTGTTTGTTAGTTGTAACTTGCAAGTATTATTATAGTTTTAACAAATAATTTTGTTGTTGGTATATTTGATACCATACAACATCCAGGGTTAAAATGTTTTGATTAAACGTTTATAAAATGTGAAAATAGTCTATCAGTATCAGTGGCATAATGATAGATTGGATTCATTCATATTGTGCTGGTTGTGGGTGACTTAGTCAATAATTTTTAATTTCTCAATAATGTTACTTTGGTGAAATAATTCTAGTAAAAATAAAATTGTAGTAGTAGATTTGGTAATGATGCATTGGATGTTATTGAGTAGTTTTTTGATTATCTAGAATTTAGTACTAAAATAATATGTGCTTTAATAGGCGAATTGGTTGATAGTATAATAATAGTTATAATGATAGTATTTTTAACGAGTATTAATTTCCACAAATATAAAAATACATCGACAATTATATAATTCAACCAAGTTAAATGACAAAAATTTCAGGCATAGTAATTTCTAAAATATAATTGGTTTTAATTAAAACAATAGAACAAATTTGACTACATTTTATGCAATCGATTTCATCTAAAGTTTAAAAATAAACTTGATTTGTGTTTATGTTTACACATTAATTAATAACAAAACAATAAATTTTTTATGATTAAAAAACTTAGGTATTATATTTGTAAGGTAGAAAAGTTAACTGTATTTTTAAATAAATAATAATATGTTTATAAGTTATAATGTTGCAAGTCAAATACCAATTTTATGTTTATTGTAAATATATGAGTTTATGGGCTATAAATCTATAATATTAACATATTATTATAAACATCATAGCCCATAGGTATTATCATTGATTAATCAATGGTATCATGTAATATGTATATTTTATAATTTTAACTTTATTTTTTAATTGCCAACAATAATAGTTTAGCCAGTAAGTAATAAGTAAAATTTTAATATGAAACAAAACATTTATTTATTTTTTTTATGTTTAAAATTATTTACTTTAAAGCTGTTTGTAATAATACCAATGCCCTTTTTCAATGAAATTTATATGAAATGCGGAAATAGTTGGGATTGAAATGTTATTATATTATTACAAACAAGTTTTGAGCGTCGTATACTGGCGATGATCAACTAAAATAATTATATCTAGACATAAATTAGCTTGTTAAGAGCAAGTTGCTCTTATAATATGTAGGTATATAATACATTAAAATATAAATCACATTTATTTGTAGTGTATAATATTTTGTCATTAGTTTTACAACATTTTTAAATGTTTTAACTTTTAGCTAATTCTGTTTCAACAGTTCGCTTTTAACTGTAAACAGCAGTGTGTTCTAAAAGCATTGTACTAAAAAAAAAAAAAAATATTAAGTATTAATAATTAATTAATTAATTTATAATTAATATATGTTAATATGTCAGACACAGTTATTAAGAAATATAATTAAATTAAATACACATTATATTTTTTATCATTCTGGATACTTCTGAAAAACAGACTGAACAATACTGATAAACATGGAAAAAATTGAATATCTATTAAACAATTAAGTCCATCTTCCAACAAAAATCCAATAACATAATATACGTTTGTCATTTTCTAAAACAGATAACGTGTAATGACTAGAGAGAAATGTACAAATAGTTAAAATAAACTAGTTGAACAATTATACATTTATACATAAATACGTGTGTAGTTAGTTTTTGTTGTATTATAAATATTTATCTACTTTAAAAATTTCGAGGGGGGTTAAACCCCTAAATTCCCTCTTGTATACGGCCTGATACTCACATAACCTATCTAAGTTAAAGGCTTATGATGTAATATAATATAATATTATTATATAATTTCATATCTTTTTATATTTACGACAAAAAAGTAGAATTTATTGGAAATATTTTCGAATCGCCTCTTATTGTGTAGTATTTGTAACCACTACTTGTTCAAATGAGTTGTATTAAACACTAACAAACCTTGATCGTATACGATGCGTAGGTACCTCGTTAAAATGTGACAAAAGTAATATTATACGTCAGTAACGCCTATAATATTCTTCGAGATAAATTACAGGTCTTTTATTTTTTCTTCGCTGGTTATTATAATGCATTTCTCATTTGAAAAATGTTTTCTTTTTTATCTTTAATACTTAACAGTTATAACAGATTATAATGAGTAATGGCGTATGTACATGGTTAAATAAATAAATATTAATAAAAAGTATTTTTCATTTTCAGGAAAACTGTCATCCGAAGCGATCATGACTGTTTTAGAAGTTTTACAGAAGACGGGAAATGCCGAACCGCTCGATAAAACAAGAACAAGGTACACTGACACCAATTTTTATATTATACAGCGTGATGATACACTAGTATCTAAAAAACATTTAGAAATAGATTTTGGTTTTTTTCAACTACGAATTAGTATACGCGAACAACTTAATATTCATTCCGGGCCCGTATTAGCATATATTAATTCGCTGTTTTGCTTACTTTTTATTGCTATGCATACTCACATTTGGTAGAGAATTTCTGTAGATATTTTTTTATGATAGATACTTATACTACACGCTGTACGTCGAGAAAGTTCGATGAAAATAAAATACGAAATTATATTTTCGAGAATTCGAATGTCACACGTTAGAATGTTTTGACTGGTCTCTAGATATTGACTCGGGTAGTCGCATGAAATTCTTTTAAATTCCAAATTATCGTGACATGATAACACGTGTTGGAATTTTGCTCACACAGTAACATAAATACTTGCTGTTTAGACTTTTAGAGTTGAAAGTCATTACCGCGGACAAGTTTTGTTTTATATAAATAACGAGAAAATGTACTCATTTATTAAATTATACTTCTGATGTTCTGGAGTGTAAACAAGTAAATACGTCGTTTGTTTAAAATAAAATATGTCATATTTAGGTGGAATATTTATTGGCACACGTTAGACGAATGGGCGTCGATAGTGTACAAATGGGCTCAGGACAACGCTATGCTCAATACGGTGTGTACGTTTTACGAGATAGCCAGCGACAGTGGAGGTAATATAATTGAAAAATCTGTTTTATTTGAGTAAGGGTAGGGGTCAGGTTAAGTTTTAAATTTAAACATGTTATTTTATAAATAATATACGGGATATACTTTTAAGTTTAAAAATCCTGTACCTAAATTATTCAACATATTATGAAAATTTATATTATACAGTGGCAAAACGATCTTGAAATATTTCATAAGCAAACCTCATGTTTACTCACATAAATAATGACCTTAGAAATCACAGGAAGCAATCTATAACCTGATCATAATTATCCTTTTTTTTATGCCACTGAATGTAGTGTTGTATAACTTGTATTCCTGGTTATCAAAGTATTATTTATTTATTTTTTGTTTTGAGTATAGATTTGAATGGTATTGATGACGGTGTACTGACCAAAGCATTGCGGGTGTTGGAACGACGTCAACAGGCGGAAATACTTACGCTGGACGGAGGATCTGGTGTGAAATTTTTCTCGTAGACGCGGAACTCTTATACAAGCTACTCTTGTTTATAGCTCGTATATAATATCTAAAAATTTGATGTATCTGTGTATGCAACGATATTATTCGTATAACGCATGAGGTGAAACATTTTATGCTATATACATATAAATATATAATATAATATGTACGATATTAATAAGATATAAGACCATTGTGTATAATGATCGATCACATTTATTTATTTATTTTTTGTTTATCCATCGATTAAAAAAAAAAAAAATTTACAAACCACTTTTCACTATATGTTTGAGTTTACAAAATGGGACTCACTAATATTTATATTATATAATTGTATAATAATTAATAATTAATTAAATTTAAATATAATTAAAAACAAAAATAATCACAGTTAAATAATATAAACTATATATTTATCTAACGAAATGTTACACATACATTTATATGTTTTATCATATTTTTACAACCTCAATAACTAATAAATGGCAATGGGTCTTCCTTCACAACTTCGTTTTGTAAACCGAGACATGAGTGTGTGTTTGTGTACACGTTCGTTAAAAGAATGTGCGTTATATTTTAGCGAAAAACAATAAACCGTTTTCGAATGAAACAAATTCAAAACGCTTATCACTATCTGCTAAGCTTATAACTGGTTCCTTTATATGTACATTTATAATAAATTATTTTTATATAATATCCAATTAAAAACACGATTTGTTTGATATATAATATAAGACGTTAAGCTTAAAAAATATGTTCAATATATAACGGAACTATAATATAATATAATATATATAATTAAATATAATTAGCTGCTAAATTGACTACTCAACAGTAATGGCGCTAAAATACACATATATATATATAGATATACGAGTATATACATACATATATTGTAAATTCCTTGTAATTACAATAATTATTTCATATAACTTTTCCAAACAAACCAGAAGGGACCACAAATTTACCGATTAAAATAATTGAACAACGAGCAAACTGATGCAGATCAAAGGATTTCTACTTTTGAGCAACAAACAATAATAAATTAAAAAAAAAAAAACTCAATTCATAATTTTTGGCACTTAAACCTCAGTCGTTAAAGGCAAACCGCATAGCTTAAATAAAATATTCTTTTTTTCTTTTTTTTTTATACAAACATTAATAACATAATCTAAAAAAAAAAATATACAATAGGAACTGTTTCGTTTAAATATTGGCGTGAGGAATAATTATATTATTACATGTATACGAAAAACGCTGGGAAGACTTTGAACAAAGTTACACAACATGAAATTAATAATAATAGTAATAATATTAATATTAAAAGAAAAAATACGGAAAAGATAAAAGTCGTTTGGTAAGTTGAACACTATTTGAGCGCATTTGCGCGTGAAATTGGTAACTCGCCAGATATTTCGTTGTGGGCTGGTCACAAATTGCGCTCCGTTGTGAACAACGCGATTTGTAATTTGTTTATTTTTATTTTTTCATTGACTAGTGTTGTGTGCAGAGAAACTAAAAACGGTCTATACTTTAGACGTACTCGTTCGTGCCAGGACGAGTCAACGGCTCTTCGGCCTGAAAAAAAAAATTAAATCAAATAAACAACGTATATAAAAAAACACTATCCCACGCGTGTCGCTTATATTATGTAAATATAAAATTGCACGTGTGAAACGTATTACTACTACTACTACTACTACTACTACTACTACTACTACTACTACTACTACTACTACTATAATATGAATGAATATGACGTCGTGTACATTTATAACATCATATTTTAATATAATAATTATTGTTCGGTGAACTTACCGAAATGTCGTTAAAGAACTAACACGCAGCGTGTAAAAATGCAAAAAAATTAAGAGCAGAAAAAATCGAATATAGCTTAACGGTGTTGCATCGACGATAAGTAGGTATATATGACTGTGGTTTTTCGGGCGGGGAATGTGTCACGGGGGGGGGAGAGGTGGGAGACGGTGTTTTCAGGGTCTTTAAATGATAACGTTGAAGTTTACCTCCTCGCCGACAGACGTTGGGTACACCCTTGCCGGTTGATACTGACTCTTCTCCAGCGTGAACTGGTCTTCGGTTGTTTTCCTGTAAATCGGGTTGTCGAAATTCATGCTGGTCACGTTGCGGTGCAAGTAGTGTCGGTACAACAGGAAAGCGCCCTGCAATATACAAAATGATCGGATATTAGAGGCGCTCATCGCGTGATGACAGTGTAACGCGTATACCACGGTATCCGTACAGTCGGATTACCGCGATATACCTGACGGTCCGAGGGGGGTTGGGTGGGATGCGGGTTCACTCACCAAGGCTGCGAGAGTGATCAATAGCGAACCGGAGAATATTATTATGGCGGCTATGAGTCCACTGTCTTCTGATTCGGTGTGGTCGTTGACGTTTACTTCTGTCATCGTTCTGTTCGTATCTGCAACGAGAGCGAATGGGTGTTATAAAGTATGGCCAATGGTAATGTGGATAATCGCAAACAACATGATCATATTATAATATGTATATATGTATACAACTATATATAGAATAAAATCGGTCAATATATCGTACAATATAATATTATGATCAGCGCCGCCACCAAAAGAAAAACATATACAGTATTAGAAATATTATCATATAATATTAGATAGTGAACTGAAGCAGCCGACGACGACGGACACGCAGGTACGTAAAATTAACAGCAGACCTAAGTGGTAAAATAAAATATATTTGTATGTAATATAGCTCGCCGGCAGTCGTATATTATGAATGGTAGGAATTGTAAAACATTTATCCTATAGATAATTGGTGTATAAAAATACAATAACACAATTTTATTATAATAAGACGGTGTAACAATAATATACATATAACATGATGATACGTATAGAATAGGTACAACGAACGAATTGACAAGCGAGAATCTCATCTAGTCACCATAGAAGTCAGAAGATATCTTGTGTTAACTGGTTGCGCGTTTTTTAGACTAGATAGAAAAAAAAAATGTGCAAAAAACGTCTTTCCAGAGAACACGCGGGCCAAGCGTCTCTTATTATAGGTATAATACACAATAATATGCTTATACATATTACAATATACGACGTACGTACAGCCGACGATGACGAAAAGCCGTCCATAGAGGATTTCGAGACTCGTTGCGTATCATACAAAGCACTTACCTTTTTTTTTCTGGCCGCAAACAACGGAAACAAACAGTACAACTTTAATATAAAACTATATTTCTATACTACACCTAATACACACTACCACAGTAGAATATATTTAATAGAAGTTATAAATTATTATTAATATTGTTGTTGCAGTCGTAAACGACGTGTATCACTCAAGAACCAAAAAAAAAAAAAAAATAAATAAATATGTAGATGTCCCGACAGATGTATAATATTATACAGTTACGATAACTTTGTTATATGCACACACCGCGACTCGGACGGAAAGAATACACAGACTGCGGGCGAGGCGCGCGTATATAATATGATGCGTAGGTATATGCACAATAATATTAATAATATCATAATATTATACTGTACACGAGAGCGCAACGTCGGTTCCGTCAAGGACTCCTGTGCGAGCGATTCGATTTTATTATTTTACTTCCCGATGCGGATTCCAAGGGCATCTCATACAGTACGCGATAATATATAATATCATAATATTATGTAGTCTCTCTCACTGGTCTCCGTTGTAGGTCTTTTCGAATAGGTAACCTATATACCTATTATACCTATACCTATGCGAACAAATTATACAGTCGCGATCGTTACGCGCACAAATATACAATAAATATTAAGTACCTACATAGTTGTTATAACATTTTATACGACTGTGGTAATGCTATACGTACCTACGAAATTTTTTATCACATAATATATTATACGCGTATATTATTATTGTTATTAGCTCTGTAATGATGAACCGCCACCTGCACAAGATATACGCGTATATTATATAACACAATGATATATCTACAGAGAGCGCACATCGATTTAGCACATCGATGGAGATTATAAAAGCCATAATAATATTATAATTATGTCACATAAACTACAGATATATTGGTGCCTATAAAGTGTCTCTTGGATCGTTTCGGGAGCGGCGGAGTGCGCAACGTGCGGAGAAACGACGTAGCGCCCGATCCATTGGGTTTCTATTTCGGTACAATGTGTGCGGTGTGTATATATATATTATTTATAATTATATAGGTACTGTGTGTGCTCGTGCATTTTCAGAGTGCGTGCTAGTCTATGATGTATATAACTATGTTATTGTTATTTTTAAAAGTGTAAATGATTTTTATGTATAATATACAGGACGGATGCCAAACGCCGCCAGATTCGATACCTACTCAAGATTTTCACTGAATATATAATTACTATAATATAGGTAAAATCTTATTTGAACCGTAACAAATTTACTGTAATGGTAAGGTATATAATTTATGTGTTTACATAGTGGATTGAGTTACTTGCAATGTCTGTTATTAACTCATTATTAAGTAGGTATTATTAAAGTTTGACTGTATACCGCACTGTCAATAGTACTGTATACTGTATAGTATATCGCGTGTTCGATTCTAATGGTTATTATACAATAATATAATATTTTAATTATTGTGTGACTTAAGAATTACAACGTGTGCACGGTAAATACATATAATCAAATACACGTATTAAAATAGCGTGTAAGCCGTGAGTTTATTAATTTCGTTCTTGCTGTTGCTGGTTTAATAGTATGCATTACACGCCACAGAGTTTATAAATTAGTATAATATAATATCATATTAAAATATGTGCGTGGAACTGAGTGATATTTTGTGATCCATGCATATTAAACTGTTGTACGTATTATAGTGCATACAATCCGCGAAATTTTTTTCTCAACAGAATTTCATTAATAACTAGTGTCTTAAACACTATTTCCCAACAACCATATAACCATATATGACACTCGATCCTAAATGGTTTTTGTTTTTACCGATCACCGAGTTGACGAAACCTGTACGGTACGATCTAATTTGAAGTTTGAGTCATGAAAAAATATTGCAAACGAGTTCTTTATGACTTATAGTCGATATTTTATCTTATCCCATATATATATTTAAATGAATACAAATACATTTATATTTGGGCATCATTGAGTTCTTGATTTAAAAGTTGAAATACATTATTTCTGAATAGTGGCAAGTCATATTATCATAATAGTATAGGTACGTGATTTCTAGTTTAAAAACTAGTCAGTCACAAA